TTTCACTCATCTCCAATGATTTATGAATGACAGATAAATGCAGCTAAAAGAAAGAGTATGATGAGCAAAAAGCCATGCACTACTAAGCCTTAGCTCTAGTTGAAATACACAAATAAAAAACAAAAAATAATGATAATCATTAGAAGAGGGTCTTACTCTGGGAAATATTCAGCTTTGAGTCTTGGTGTTGGCCTGCCTTCTGCCATCCACTTATGGGGAAAATATGTTTTGCCTGAAAAACACTCCAAAGTTTAGTTTAACTTCTATGTTAAAATCATTTAATAGCATAAACATTTCTTAAAACAATTCCATAATATATATATTCCCTTTGACGTCTTTATCTAAATATATTACACTATCATTTCCTGAATATGATTAAAGACTGCTTCTTTGGGATGATGGTTTGCAAATTACATATTTGAAAATCAAATACAATCATTCATAAACCAAAACAAAAAAAACAAAACTAAGTCATGATAATCATCACCATTAGACAATAGACAATATGGAAAAGGATACAGGAACATCTATGAATGTTCCTGTATTTGTTATACTTGGAGATATTAACCCATTAGATCTGGCTGATGTGACTATCTTGTCATAAAAAAAATGGGTGAGGGCTGAGGTGATAAGAATGACTTGCCACTGCACAAAGCTCTTTGAGGAAGATTAGACTCTGGCCATTTAGGAATGAGTTTTTGTATTTTTTCCACCAGTAAACAAGTGTGGAATGTACCATCCATTAGCCTTGACTGGATGAGTGCCAGCTCCAAGGAGGACACTATTTTCAAGTTCAAGATCCCTCCTACCAGCTGTTACTGGCAATACATGGTATATTACATAAAATTGAATGAGAAAAAAAAAAAAATCACACAAAACAATGTAACTTATTTTTATTGTTATTACACAGAGTTGTAGACTATATAGGCTACGTTAAAAATGGCAAAAAAGCAAATATTCTTTACGAAGAGAAAGAGATAATAATATTGCAAGGGGGAGGCCAGGAGTCTTAACACTGCCTACAACCCAGGACTAAAAGCCACACATGTGGGAGAGTTGGCACTCAAATAAGCGTATTGCCGGGATTTTAGGGAAGTGTGGACAGCAAGGTACCTGGATCCAATGGGCTAACAAAAACAATGCACAAACTCATGCACACAATAACATTTAGGAATATAAGTATAATAAGACCATTAAAGGTCTGCTTTGAGAATACTTAAAATGTTCTATTGTTTTTTCATGGAATTATCTAATTTGCACAGGTACATGGGGAAAGGAATAAAGGAAAGTCATGGGGAAAGGAATAAAGGAAAGTCATGGGGAAAGGAATAAAGGGAAGTCATGGGGAAAGGAATAAAGCGAAGTCATGGGGAAAGGAATAAAGTGAAGTCATGGGGAAAGGAATAAAGGGAAGTCATGGGGAAAGGAATAAAGCGAAGTCATGGGGAAAGGAATAAAGGAAAGTCATGGGGAAAGGAATAAAGCGAAGTCATGGGGAAAGGAATAAAGGGAAGTCATGGGGAAAGGAATAAAGGGAAGTCATGGGGAAAGGAATAAAGGAAAGTCATGGGGAAAGGAATAAAGTATAGTAACCTTTCTTAGAGCAAAATATATCAGCCTGTTCATGATTGTTCAGGATTGATCAATCTACAACAGCTCCTCCTGTGAAGCATTTCAAGGGGCTACAACTAATTTCATGATATTTATGTTCTCATTACTTTCTTCTTCTCAGGTATAGTTAGCTGGTAGTAGGTCTTACTACCAGTTGATATTAATTCAGTCCCAAAACTGAAACCATTAGTTTTCATCCACCCTAAATTTTATGATACATTTCCTTTAACAACTTACTGAAGCATGTTCAATTTATAAAAAAAGAAATCCAATTAGTATCGTCCTGCCTATAACGGGGGATTTTAACCTGGAGTCCCTGGACCCCTTAGGATCTACGGAAGGGCTTCAGGGGCTCCATGAGGATCAGATAACAATTAGCATGTCTTTTTAAACTGTTTACTTTAAAGATTAATAACAGTGCCATATATGTAGAAAATGATCAAATATCAATAAATGAAGCACATTATACACATTGCATGCAAAGTTGTGTTTATGAGAATATTTTAGGAGAAAGGGATCCATAGCTTTCATCAGATTCCAAAAGGGGTTTGTTATTCACATTAACAATACAGTGACAGTACCAGAAATCTCTGGGTGTCACTTAATCTGGTGGCTTCTAGCAACTGTCTAGCCTTTTGGCTGGGGAGTCCGCTACATATAGCAGAACTTCCTGCTTGACTCACTATAATTGTGGCACCTATAGCTGTATCCATTAGGATGAGTTGGTTTTTCATGATGGCTATAGGACATGGAGGTTAACACACTCCAAATTCAATATTACAGACAGGATTCTATCAATAGGTTCCCCTTATTTTGGACACAAACAAAAATCAAGTTATAAACTTGTAAACTACCTCTGATAACTCTGATCTGTGTGCAGTCTACTCCCTCCTCAAAAATCAATCTTTGTCGGATCTCCTCCCTTTCTGCAGAGGTCAGAATGGAATCCTTCAGGAAACATCTCCAACGCTGAAAGACAACCCCATCAGCATTTACAAATGGAAAAAGTAGAAGTAGATATATCTAATTTCTGGAACCATATTAATTCTTTCTTGCAGATTGTTTTCAAAACATATAATCTATACTCACAATATACTTCTCTGTATGCTTTTTCCCTACCACATGATGGTACATTGGATCAATTTTCCCATGCGCAGCACACAAAATGCATTTGTAGTAAGAAGGTCCAAAATCCTGGGTGTACTCCTCTATCATCTGCAGGCCTTGAAAATTTGTTAAATAGGCATTTGTATTTCCACTTATCAATCTTTTCTCAAATGACTAATAACAAATAACATAACAGATAGTCTGTACAGTTTCTAGGGTAAATCTGTACTTGTATATAATTGAAAAAGATCACATACAATGTAAAAAGTATACATGCAGATAGCTACAGTCAAAAAAGTGTAAAAATAAAACCACAGTACTCTACATTTTCTTAGCCCATTGCCGCCGGGGAAAATGAACAAAAAAATGGGGAAAATGCTGTGCCTATTTTCTATACTTTTTTGTTAAATGTCTGCCTATAGATGGCTCTGTTAGCACCTGATTGGAAATGGTGGGAAAAAACGTATTTTTCTCTAGTGCCATGAATATCGATGGTGTTATTTTTATCATAAACATTATAATATTTATAATGTTTTTTTACATTAGTAACAACAAAATAAGATAACGTAAAATATTTTGTAAATCAAAGAAAAGGGTGAAAGGGTGAGACAGCCGGTACTCGTAACTGGCTCATTGGTGATTTAGTACATGTGTAGCCATCTATGTGTGAAAACAATCCAACAAGTAATCTCACAGTGGGCATGGCATGGCATGCCCGGCGGGAATGGGTTAATATACTGTTTTTCTCCCTGTATTTTGTTTTCAAATCTCACAACAGGTTAAATCTGTAAGAAATTAATACTTACAAAAAACTTACCCAGGGGTTTCAGTATACTATTAGCAAGTTTGAACTGCAGAGAGGTTGAAGGAAAATTTAAGCAGGCTCTGCCTTCGAATCCCTTGTCTCGCATTTTCTTGTCAAGATTCTGAAAATTATTAATAATAACACAATTAACAAGATGAATATGAACTATCCAAAAATGTCTAGGTTAACTCTTTTAACCATCAGCAGTGGGTACATACACTGTTCACTTTGGTTTCATTTTTGCAATTTCGTTTACATGCAAATGACTTCATGAGTGTTTTGTCACTATCAAGTTAATTGCTGGACCTGCTTGGTCTTACCTGTTTATCACAATTCCTTGAATATTCTAGAAGAATGTGTTTATCTATATCACTACGACTATTTTTACATATGTTATCATGATCATCTTTACTTTCATCATCATCAAGTGAATGGAGGACCTTGCCACAGATGAAGCAATAAAATCATTTTAATATATCTCATCTAACAAAATGGTATGATATAGTTTGATGACTGATTACACAGGTTTTAATCAAATGACAGAGAGCACCATATCACTCTCAAGCCCTATGCCATTTTGTCCTCTTTCTTCTTACTCATAATAGCATGTTTCAAGTGGAGGGGATTGTACAAGTATTATGTTGATGACGATAATAGATATGATGGCATACTAGCATCTATGACTATGCAAGGCCACACAGACACAATTATCGTTGCCTAAAACCAACGACATAAAGCAGTTTAAAATCAGGATTATTTGAGCGTGCCACGTGAAGTCCATCCCAGAAGGAGAGGGAAGCTAAATTGAAACTTGAGATTTCATGGCAGGATTTTGGTAGTTTTAATTTCAAACATTCTGAATTACATTTACTTGGGTATTTCATTTGAAAAACAGAAATGACTAAGAAAAAGGGAGTAATACTGAAATTAAAACAAAACATGTGTCATTGAATGTATTCAACTCACCTTGTGATGAAAATCTGATCGATTGTGTTCAGCTAAAGTAACTTCATTGTTCATTGGTTTATGACATATCTAGTAAAGCAGAAGAAAAAAAAAATATATATATATTTTTGATGATGGTGCTATTCTAGTATGTTTATTTTCAGAAATAACTATACATCAATTAAGAATAAATATAAGAAGGTAACTTTACTAAATCATTATTATATTAATTTGTAAAACTTATCCTTTTCAATAATAACTCTAAGAATACAAGCTCTTAAAATTTATGTTTCAGAAATGATAAGTGGATCTGCATTTTGTACTTGATATATGATGTCACCTTATTAGCTGCTACCTAATTCAAAAATAAAATTATTGAAATGAAATCTGAGTATGAATAAAAATTAATCTCTGTTAAGAAAGTGTGCTTACTTTGCAACAAAATATCATTCGACCAAGAAAATCTGTCTCAATAATATATTCTGCCCCATAGACGATTTCTGAAATGACAAAAGAAGAAAATTAACAGAATTATAGACACACAAAGGAAAATAATAATTATAACAATAATAATCGGCTTACTATTTAGCATGGCTCCAAGGACCATTTAGAGTAATTTTTTAATCTTGCCTTTTTTAATGACAACTCCTTAAGAATGAAACAAAGTCTGGACTTACTGACAGCACTCTGGAACTTTTCTATATGTTCTACTGAGTAGGCCATCCTGGAAAATTTCTTCAGTGCCTCCATAGCTGAAGCCTGTCAGGGGAAGTAACAGAGAATTTACTCTATGCTTAATCTCTTTGCTGACTAATATCAACCTAATTCTTTAATCAAAATCAATATCAACATTTTGCTACTAAAGAAATGAGGATTATCATAAGACTTACAAGATTGTGAGGGATATTGAAGGATGCCATTCTGTTCACAGGTATCTCCACTTGTCACTTAGTACTGGATTATCAATCACATGCTAGCTGCCTGAAAAAACGTGTTCAAGGCTATAGTGGTCATCATACCAAGCAAGGCATCAGGTCTCATTACCTCCTGAGGAAACAAATTTCTGAGGTATCATGATTCCCCTGGTTATTTCACAATACACCCTTTCATTGAGCTTTGACTCATTGTAGAGTGCCATTAGGAGTCATGGGCTGCTTGCTGCCTACAGCAAGACTTTTGATTCAGTGCATCACAAATCACTCTGTGATTCAAATATTCAGAGGAATATGGACAAAAATCATACAATAAAAAATAAGTCTATACACTCATGCAAAGAGTGATGTGAAGCTTATTTCAGGAGTTTGGCGAGGATATGTTCTTGTAGTAACAATTTTCACTATGCATGGACTGATACTGAGATGAAACATCATCTGAAGTCATTGTGGGCAACACTGGGTAATATAGTCACAGACCTTGACTTATCTGGTGATAGTACCATTCCGTTTGATTCACTGGTGACTCTAATGGCAGCTCTTATTGCATTTAGGAATGAGGCAGCACATCTGGCTTGTAGAGTCTCCTGGATCAAGACTAATATCCAAGGCTTTGGTGGTTAGGTCAGTTGCCTAGTTCAGTGATATTTACTAGTAATTGCAAGACAACCATTTTGGTGGACTGTGTGCAATATGAGAACTGCCATTTAAACTGTAATTACAGTAAGACACTTCCCTCACTTCCTTCACAGAAAATGGCTTTTACATCATGAAGCACTGGACTTCTTGCTTGCCAATCCTGGAATGCAACCTCAGGCTAAATTGAACACTTGACTTGACCTCTTGAGAATGACACTACCTATCAATCAGATTGTCTCTGCAAGTGATGATCCTTTCAGATGTTTGCCCAAGTCAAGGCTAGAGTAAATCAGCCAAATTTGTTGTAAGGAAGTTGATACAAAGTCTGCCTAGCAGGTCACCAAGAGAAGAAGCAGGAGGTAGATAAAGCAATGTGACCTTCTTGGCATTTGCCCCTTAGAATTGACTGAATGGTTGATATATAAAACTTATCTGAAGTGGAGATTTTTAAAATTTTGAGTAGGTAAGATTTACCTCAAATGTACCTTGAAGTACTTTACATCAAAGAAAAGACTGAGATTCAAATCTAATAATTTTTTAAAGCTACTTATTGTAACCTCTATATATGTATCAAAGCTAAGTGCAATACTGTAATGACATATAAAGGCTTAACATAGATAGCCCCACATTGCTTAGCCAAATTAACAGACTTAAGAAACTCACCAAATTTCACCTTTCCTTGAGTTTTTGTGGGGGAAAAAAATTACAAAAGCTATCCATGTTTATACTGTTATTATTTTTATAGACATTATTATTATACTTATCTTATTGACAATACTAACAGCAATATAGGATAATAGAAAGTGTTCCTGAAAATCAAGGAAAAGGCTAACCAGGTGAGAGATGTCCTACCAGTAACTGGCCCATTGGTGACTTAGTACTTGTGGAGCCATCTGTGTAAAAATAATTCATAAATGAAACTTGTAATGGGTATAGCAAGATGTACATGCCATTCCTGGTGACATCGGGTTAACCCATTCGCCACATATGGCAAGAATAGATGCCATACCCACTTTGATACACGTTTATTTATTGTATTTACACATAGATGGCTCCACAAGTTTTTAATCACCAAATAGCCAGTTATCAGGAACTACCTATTTCACCTGTTTACCCTTTTCCTTCACTTTAGGAAAGGGTTTTTTGTATCATTTCATTGTCAAAAATATTCTAATGACAATCCAATAAGCATAACATCAATAACAATAATATCAGTATCGAAAGCAATGGTATTAGTTTTCCAGCCAGTTCAATGAATGGGAAAATCAGGGTCGGTAACTAGGGCCTACTGATAGACTCCTTGCCGGCTGAGCACATGTGGAGCCATCTGTAGGTAACAAAATTCACTAAAAACTACAGGGGACAGAACATAAATCCGTGGCGAATGGGTTAATTAAAATTACATTCCATGGTACTGAGTGGTCAGAATCTTAGGAAGTCTACAGTAGGTTATCTTAAGCCTCTGCTGCCAGGGAAAATGAATAAAAAATGGGGAAAATGCTGTGCTCATTCTTTAAATTTTTGTGAAATGTCTCTGTTCATAGATGGCTTTGCTAGTGCTTAGTCACAAACGAGTCAATTAGTAGACCTTGGGGCCTTACCTGACTTCACCTTTCCTTAAATTGGCGGAAAAATGTATTTTTTACTAGTGCTATGAATATTGATGGTTATTTTTATTATAAACAATAGAATTACTATAATGTTTTAAACATTATTAACAGCAAATTAAGATAACGTAAAATATTTTCGTAAATCAATGAAAAGGTTAAACGGGCGAGACAGGCAGTACTTGTAATTGGCTCACTGGTGACTTAGTACAAATTTAGCCATGTATGTATAAAAACAATTAAACAGTAGACTCACAGTAGGCAGGGCATGTACATACATGCCATGCCCATTGGCAAGGATTAAAGAAGTGCATTAATTGGCAATAATTTGTAAAGATTCATGTTATTGATACTAGTGAGTAGCATTTGACTGCTTATGATATGTTCCTGAGGTAGTGGTTTTATTTAAATGAAACCAACTAGAGTGAGGATTTTGCTTGCAATTAACCCCTTGGTGCCGGGTATGACCTGTACGTACGTGCTATGCCCACAGTGAGTACTTGTTTGATTGTTTTTACGCATAGATGGCAACACTTGTACTAACTCCCCAATGAGCCAGTTACGAGCACCGCCCGTCTCGCCCGTTTACCCGTTTCTTTGATTTACGAAATATTTTACGTAATCTTATTTTGCTGTTACTAATGTTAAAAAAAATTATAAAAATTATAATGTTTATGATAAAAATAACACCATCGATTTTCATAGCACTAGTGAAAAATACGTGTTTCCCGCCATTTAAATCAGGCGCTAGCAGAGCCATCTATCGGCAGACATTTCACGAAAAACATAGGAAGTAGGCACAATATTTTCCCCATTTTTTGTTCATTTTCCCCGGCACCATTGGGTTAACCCATTCGGGATGGGCTGTCATGTATATGTGACATGCCCGTGTATGAGTTTACTTGTTTAATTGTTTTTACACATTGATGGCTACACTTGTACTAAAACACCAATGAGCCAATTACGAGTACTGCCTGTCTCGCCCGTTTACCCTTTTCTTTAATTTATGTTATCTTATTTTGCTATTACTATTGTTTATAACATTGTAGTAATTATAATGTTTATAATAAAAATAATACCATCGATATTCAAAGCACTAGTAAAAAATACATTTTCCCGCCAATTCAAGGAAAGGTGAAATCAGGTAAGGCAGAGTCATCTATGGGTAGAGACACTTCACAAAAAATATAAAATATGAGCACAGCATTTCCCCTGTCGCAAATGGGTTAAAGTAATGCATCAAAGAAATCAGATTCTGTGCCTGTCTAGAGATGCTTTTCTTCTGGTAATTTGGGAAAGACTGACAGACTTCCCATAGCATATCCTAGCCTGTACATTTCCCTGGTGACTTTGAATCAAATGTGGTACCAGTCCACTCTACTTTACCAGAAAAGTGGGCTTTCTTGTCTGTTATAAGAGTGCAAAGCACAAAGCTGCCACAAATAGCTACTTAAATTAATAATAATAATAAAAAAAACCCACTAGCAAATTGGACTTAAAATTGTAGGACTTTTATCACAGATTACACCAGAATTTAGTAAAAGTTTAAAAGACACTCTAAAATGTGAATTTACTCTCATGATTACAAAATTCTATCCAAATCTATTTGAAATTTATTGGGACTATGCTAAGTGGAGGAGGAGATCTGGGTTGAGGAAATCAAAATCGAATTGAGACCAGAACTAAATCCCTAAATATTCAAGGGAAGCCACCTGTTCAAGTCTATGATGTCATTTTTTTGGTCAATTTTTTTTTGTCCTCAGCTGCCAAGTCAGAGCATGGAGAGGAACCCATAAGGGAGGATCCTGACCCAAATTAAAATAAACTCTGTTGGGGTTCCTACCTTGATATCTATACTAAGAGCTAGGAAAACCATATACATCAATTTTAGTCCAAATACCTTATCTATGACTAAAATTTTCACCCCTCTGACCACTTTCTTTCAAATTCCTAATCCCATGCAAATCCTTTAAACAGACAATGAGAAATCTAGGTGAAATTCATTTTTTTGTTTAATATGAATCTAAAAAACTCATTCCACCCTAAAAAAAGGAAGAAGATGAGACAGAGAGAGAGATGGGGAACAGTGTGAAGATACAGGAGTCAATTTTTCAAACACATACACACATACACACACACACACAAACACACAAACACACAAACGCACACACACACACAAAGTGATATCAAGACATTTGGCTTTTCTTATACTTAAGTCTTGGATATTCCTTATCTATACAATAATATTCACTCATATTCATTAAGCCATGACATGTATTATATGGTCAAATTCAAGTGGGCAAATTCTGTGACTATCAAATTCCACACACAGCTATAGAAAGGGTAAAAATTCTTTACATTTGTTGTTTCTTTACGAGAACCTTCAAGGCTATGAGACATTTCAAGTACCCTCTTTACTTACACCCAAACAGTAAGGGTTATTTAATTCAAAATCTGTACTATAATTAATCCAACATAGCTGAGAACATACTGATGCAAGCTTTGTGAAATTTCAATCCCATTTTACTTTGCTCGAGAACCTATTTTTACTTATCTATTATTAATTTGCTTTTGTTTAATGTAGAAGCAAATGCATATTTTGATATTTTATCAAAGCACATGCATTTTTTCTCCTTATCTTGTTACATTTTTTTGTGGGAGTCGACTCACTTTGGTATATCCAGAACCTTAAGCCTAAGAAACTATGCAATATGAAGAGACATAACCATCTTTCAAAAATGAAGATAGTATGCTTGATGCTGAATCTATAAATACATAAATGAGATAACGTTAGCAACAGACTAAAAAGAAAAGACTGAACTCTTCAAAGTGTAATATGAAAATTTTAGTGTGCCTAAAATAGAGGCAAAAACTATAGACCCTGGTCAATATTTCAGAATTGACAATAATGACACAAAGTCTTTGCTATGTAACTTCTGAATAAAATAAAAGACCCTGCAACAAACTCAGGACCTGATGAAATTCCTACAATCTTTTTAAAAAATTGCTTAGAAACTATAATAAAGCCCCCTGGTAAATTCATGGTGGAAATCCTTAGATATGGGAATTAGCCCATGCCCAACTGAAGGAAGAAAATATAATTTCTAGCTACAAAGCTGGAAAGGCCAGATCTTGTCTCTCTCAAATCCTGAGAATAAATAAGTTAATGTAATACAGTCATGAATTTGCAAATATTTTCAATAAAATTAACAATGGAATTCTACTCCATAAACTAAAGGACCTTGGAATCAGAGGGAAAGTTGGAATATGGATACGATTTCCTAACAAACTGCAAGCAAAAAGTAGTTATTAATAGTTATCATTCTCATGAATCAACTGCTACAAGTGGAGTACAACAAGGTTCAGATTTTGGACCCTGTTTTTCCTAATTATGATTGGTGATTTTAAAGCAGATATCAAGCACTCCAGAGTAACATCTTCTGCTGATGTTATTAGGATAAGTACAATATTAAATTTCATTAAGGACAAAGACAAACTAAGTGCAGACCTACATGCCAATTGTAAATGGGTAAGTAAAAAGTATATGAATTTCAATGCTGATAAATTTCAAATCATAAGATATTGTCCTCCTGGAGATTAAAGTAGTTGTGAAAGACCTAGGCCTGTTCATGAGTAATGACAAAAACTTCTGGCAACATACTGTGCAGGCAGTCAATAAGGAAGTTTTTAGTGGATGGTTGATGAGAACTTTTCAGACGAGATCCTGAATACATAATGACACTATGGAAAAACCTAGTGATTCCATGATTGGAATATCAGTGCCAAGCATAGAATCCGAGTCTCACAAAAGACATAATATTGCAAGGACTGAAGAGCTTTCGTCCAAAAATTTGACATGGCAGGTTTTAGATATTGGGAAGACCAGAATAACTCAAGCTTTTCTCTTTACAAAGACAGAGGGATATTTATTTACTGAAAATTTTCTGCCACATCAACATCTAAGGTCAGTAGCAGAGTATTGAAAATATAGTGATAGGGTGAGTTTGGAGGCAAGACTATATGACAAAGTATTGTGGCGAAATGGGTAAAAAGGAGTTAACGATAAGGATATGTGGATATAAAAGAGATAAAGATGAGAAGGAAAGGAGAGGCGAAAAGAAGACCATGTTAAATCAGTTGAGGCATGGGCTGAGGTCCAAGGTAGGGGTCCAAGGTAGGGGCTGCATTGGGCCGCAGTCCTCCATCTCCTAAGCACCTCCCACCCCCCTAGACAACAATGAACAGGGGGATTAGGGGGAGAGGAAGGTATTTCATTAATTATGAATGGAAGATTAATGAAAAATTGGCACAAAATCCAAGAGGTAGAAGGGGTAATCGAGAGAAGACACTTCCCCAGACTGGAAAGAACATATCATTCTGAGATAACTTCGCAATTAAGATAAATGAGTAGTCAGTTTCTAACATCAGCCACTTGGGTTCTTGCTTTAACTTACACCAAGGAATTAACCAAAGTAAGTAACTTCCTGCATGGTCCTTTTCATAACAAAAGGTATTTGACAAATATGGAAAAGTAACACTTGCTTTTGCTGTCAGGGTGCAAATCTGATATGAATACTAGCTTTATGAAAATATGTCACATTCATTATATAATGGACAGTGGACAGTTTCTCACTCGTGGTCTGCCCTGCACGGTGTCATGCATCACAGATGCGTCTGCACTAATTGCTCTGACATATCCTGAAAGGTTTCCGAAGTCTTTTCCCACAACTCAAGTGGAAGCTGCTGTTGCTGGAGCCTGTGTGAGGCAGAGGTCACGCCGGGGCAGTAAGGGAGCCTACTCAAGGCACTTCAACATTCGCTCTATTATTTAAGTTTGCCCGTACAGGCAATCGG